AAAAATCAATATAAAAAACCCTAAAGCCTCAAAACAGATGTCGAAATAGCGATTGGGTGAATGGGTGGGGCTATTAACCATCGCAAAAGATAACGTGTCCAATGAACAATATGTAATTCTCTCATGAAAGGATGCTTCAACTATCGTAAAAGTTTTCTGGTAAATCGTTCGTAAATGTTTGTTCAGCGTAGCTCTTTGCAATAATCTAAACAAGTGCTCTTTCTGAAAACTTTTATGAATATTGATTAATCTATTCATAAATCTATGTATAAATGATAAAATAGAGAGAGAGCGAGCTCCAGATATTTGATAGTAGTCATGTTACGCAGAAATGCGATGTGAAACAGAATTGCATAATAAACATTTACAAACTTTACAGAAATAATAAACTTTACAGGACAAACTCTCGCTTTTTCAAGCGATTTCATATCTTGATATACTTTTCTAGATTTAAATTTTTGGTTTTATATTTCAAATGATAAAAGTAATCGTTCACTGAGTGTTTTCAGGTTTCAAGCAGAAACAGCATTTGTCCTAAAGAAGGGTTGTGTTTGAGACAGGGTTTTATAAAATAGGTTCTCTACAGTATTCGCACAGCAGTGTTTTATAGATAGCTTTGCTCCTTAATCAACAAAATGTATTTGTATTTTTGCATTCTTATTTGCTACCTAGCGAGAGAAGGCTTTTTAGTACAGCGAGAAGCCGTGCTGATCAAGCAGTGGCCTGGTCCTTCCTCTCGATGTGACCACACCTCATTTATTTATACGCCTGAAATTGAAATGTCAGGTGTTCGAACCACAGATTCTTGGATCTGTAGTCAGCGACCCTAGCTACCTTAGTCGTGCTTTATTGAATTATTACAAAAATTCATACTTTTGGCATTAATTAATTGAACGTTAATAAATAAATTCCTACAAAAATATACGAGGTCTTTTGATAATGTCTTCTTGATGCCTACTATAATTTTATAAGCCCCCTCGTATAAGCCTCCCTCAAAAAACCCCCATCCAGAAATATCAAAAATAAATAAGCCCAACGGGGATGGGGCTAATTCGAGGACTTACGATAGTTCTTAAATGTGACGTCACAAAAAATTATTTTTAAAGTTTTTTAATTTTGACCACATAACATATAAAAGAAAGCCATGAAATACTTCTAAATATGCAAAATCAGCAATCGGTTGAAATTGGCAAATAAAGATTTGATGCTTGCTAACGGATTACTGATAATTTTCCTCTGTTTATAAAGTCATGAACATAGACCAAATTATAGGGATTTGATGGGGAGCGTGCCTTGTCTCATGTCGCCTTATGTTATCCAACTTTTCACATCTTCAACTGGTTCTGCATACTTAGAGGCAGGCACGCCGGGTGGGCTTCAGCCCCCTGCAGCCCCCTGTAGCCCCCCTATTTTTTGCCAAAGAATGATATCAAAGATTATGGTGGCAAACTACGTAAGGAGCCCCCCACTTTACTAGAACCCCCACCCTTAATTGTGCTCTGGCGTCTCTGAGAGGTATTTCACAATGCTCTTTCATGTTATGAGATCCAAATTCAAAAATTCAAAAATCAAATTTTCGTGAAGTCATCAATTAAAAACTCTATTACGAAAATTGTACATTGATTGTATGGTATTATAATATTATACACTTTTTCCTCGACTACTGCATAAAGTATAGGCATCAAGTAATTATATAACTTTAGGAGAAAGGCCTTAGAACTGACAATGACTATTTCAGGGTTGTAAGTGTAATCAGGAGTTGAAGAAATGTCCACAAAGTGCGGAAAGTCGGTTCAATTCAAAAAGGCTAGAGAAGGAATAAGGAGGAAGGAGCTGGTAAAGAAAAGTTTAGGGAGCGTGCTTAGGGCAATTAACATTCAGCACAGTGTTGATAACATATGATACAGGATTGAATCCTCATCAGAAAAATATTGCACCAAAACAACAAAAATTAGCCTTGAGCATCTGAACTTGATGCCTTGCCTTGCCTTGCAACAAAAATTAGCCTTGAGCTTTCGTGAATTTTTAGTCAATTTTTTGCCTTTTTACTATGGCTATATAATAAAGTTCAAAGACGCAACCTCTGTTCAATTATGCTAAAAAAAAGTTTCGTCGTCGAGTAAAGCTCAACGATAATTCCTGTGCAGAAATTAAAAACCAAGGTTTCGATGCGGCTCAAGTCAAGCTTGCCCGTATGCTATGATTTCAATTTAATGTCACCTTGAAATTTTATCAAACGATCCCCTTTTTCATCACATATACAAACAATTCTAAAAAATGGACCCTACGTGATGCATTTTAATGAATTTATATATATTAAAATAATACAGTTTATTAAAATAAAACACCTAGAACAGTTTCTACGTAATGTACTGCCTTTAAAATAAGGTACTGCAATTTGTAAGATTGTCAAGGAAAAAAACCTTATTTTATGCCTTCAATGCGTACATTTTTCAAAAGTTTTTGCTGCACTATGAAAGGACAAAAAAGATAAGCGAAGGATTAACTGCGTTTGTTTGTTGTCAAAATATATCATCTCGATATTCAACGATCCCAAATTGCTTCTGTTGTTTACACAAACTGTTATTATTCACGGCTATATCTTGTTTGGATTCGGATGTTAAGAATATGCTCGTTTCGGATTGCCGATTTCGGATTGATTGGATTAAACAATTAAAGGAACTTTTGTATCGAGCATGCATAGCTTTTCAAGAACAAAGGTATAGAAACAGTTTTTTCTATAATTTGTACTACACTCAGTTTACACCAGACAATAAATATTATTTTTGCAGAATCAATAGGAAAGTTAGATCTATGAGGGAGGGAGAGGGCGATAACTGACAATATTGATGTCTAATAAAGTGACGTCAAAAAACGCTTAGGCCTAAAGACAATTCGAGTGAAGGGAATACATGTATTTCAAAGGTTTTGCATAGTTCAGTTTTACATATAGCAGAGAGTTTTTGCATAGCCTACCCTGGATAACAGAGTCACATAGAGAAGACAATAGTGGAGCAGCGTCTTTTTGAGAAGAAGGAAATGTGATACCAGAGCCACTTTTTTCTTCTTCTTGGCTCCTCCGCTTCTTCGCTTGGTTTTCATATTTATTCACACGAAACTTGGTTTTCTATTTGTGGCACTGGTACCCAGTGCTAAGGAGAGGGGGTCAAGAGGGGCCCATAAATATTACCTAAATTAAAAAATTATAAGTAATAATCCTATCTCCCCATTATCACAAACTGTCAATAATAGCAACAATAATGGCAAAAGTCTATGAATGAGGTAAGGAAGAAGCAGTTTGAGCTTTAGACTACTTGAGTGTTAACGATTTTTTTGCTACGTAGTTCTCATCCTTGTGAGTTTGGGCTGAAGAAGTTGAAAAGCTTCTAAATTCTGAACTCCCAGCAATTTGCGTTGTGTTTTTATATTTTTTTATTCTTTTTCTAAATACTCCTATTTCCACTCCCCCTAAATAATGTTGATAATTTAGAAAAAATATCATAGAAGCAGCAAAAAACGCACTTCCTAACCCCCTACCATGTTTTTTGGTACACCAACATTGTTCAAAGGGGGACGGGGAATGGCTGAATTTGCCTTTGGAATCTGACGTCAGTGTACCAAAAACTTTCTGCAGGCATTGTACATCATACAGATTTACACTATGGCACGCGCATCTATGTACAGCATTGTATCGCTTTTGATTGAGATTAGTTAACGAATTAAACTTTAACTAAAGACTTTCAAAGTTTCTAAGAAATTTTATGCATTATGGTGTAAGATATCGATTATGCCCAAATTACATAAAACAGCAAAGAGGAGTAATAGCTACCATAGTTTTGCCACCATCCTCTTCAACATTGCCTATACTCCCTAGAAACGTCTGCCTTAGGTTTACTTTACTATTTATCTTTCGTTCCAACCCGGGGCCCATAAATCCTCTCCGGGGCCCTGCTGGTAACCAGGGTAATATCAGCCTTGTCAACAAAATTTGCAACTTTCTGCTTTGGTATTATGGTACGCTTTTTTTCCTGCAAGCTAAACAACTCTCAAAATGAAAATAAAATCTTATTGGAACATGTACACACGAAGTTCCAAGTAATGCTCAAACAAAAAGGGGTTTATTCGTGTTTCCACAACAGAAGGGTGACCAGGTATTGATGCTATTTCATATTCTTGATCTCGCTTGGAGTGTTTCAAACGTTTCGTTTTTCAGTCCTCGATGTTAGGTATAGAATGGGTTGTGACGGTTGACAAATACTTCTAGAATAAAGCCTGGGCAAAGATTGAATCGTTACCTTATACGTTACAAAGTTGGGAAAGTTAGGCAGTGAAGAAATTCACTCCTTACTAGCAGTAAATTTACCCATTGCTTCAAAGCCCATTTAAACAGCCTTTACCTCCAAAGTATACAAGAAAGACTTGAACGAGTTCTCATTATTTTGTGCCGTATTTTGGTAGCCCTCAAACGACCAGTTTTCGCTTTACGGTGTGATATCTCTAAAAATCTCGAGTCTTTCACATCACATTCCTTTGCCATTTCACGAGCATACCGTATTATTCTGGCACTCCCATATCACTCTTCGCTATGCTTGCACGGTGACGACAAAAGTTGGGTAGCCTCGGTACCAGAGCACAGAAGTCGACGATGGAGTATTATCAAGATAAAATAAGATTTCTTTATTTTATCTTGGCATTATAGACGGAGGCGTTGGCGAAGAATGATATATTTCATTGAGATAAGATTCAAACTATGTTTTTGAGACTCTTGTACCCAGGGTAGAAGTTTTAAGATACCAATATTTTTTGCAATGGTGAGCTTTGAAGCAGATATTTCAATCGTTAATCCAAGCAGCTTTTAGTTTTAGGCAGCCTCCTCATCTTGTTTGTTACGCTAAACAAGACCTGGTGATGTTTGTTTTACTTCAAAAGATTTGTGCGTATCAAATGATATAACAAACAGACTAGTATGTAATGTGATAGCTGATCTGGCTTAGAAGAATAATCCAGTCATAGGTGGTAGGGCTATTGTATGCCAAGGGATCATGGTATTGCAGGATGTTAAGATTAATAGAAAGTCAATCAGCCATGAATGCTTTTTTATGCTTGTACCGCCAACGAGAGGTTGTTTTATGACTGCGAAAAACACACCCAACCAGAAGATTGCCGAGTTCTTTAAATTAGCATGCACATTAGAAGGTAGGCTTTATGGACATTATCGCAATGCTAAGTGCCGTGTTCTATAATACATTGCAGTGCTGTGAGAACGCAAGGAAAGAAACATACGAAAACAGGTGATCATAAATCCATAACAATATAAAACCTTTTAAGTATTAAAAGCAGAAGTGGCAGTTCATTGACAGCTGGCAGTTCATTCGCCCAGTAAATGTCAAAAAAAGATTTATAGCTGTAAGAAAATGAGATCATAATATCTATTTGATGTGAAGCTTTTATCTCAATATCTTGATACAAGAGTCAAACTTTTCAAGTATGGTTAGTTTACAAAAAAATGTTGCTTCAATCTGCCATATTGCTGGTTTTGTGCCTTCCAATGAAAGACTCTATATATGAAATGTATCAAGCAATATCTTATATCGTTAGGACTTTATCAAGGTTCACAATCAAACATAGAAAAAACAACCACTGGAAACTTAAGTTTTGGAAATAACCTCTAGTGATACATTTTGTTTATTTGAATTCTCCCAATCTAATTTAAATTGACGTAGTTTAGAAGTGCAAATGGGGTTGAGACAAGTTTTGTACGATACTTACAACTCTACTGCTGGTATGTGTTATACTTTCTGGGTATCTGTTGATCATTAACAGGCATATAGAGCAAAATAGGGATGTCGAGGAAAGATTATCGATCATCAGTTATATTTTAGCAGCGCAAACTTTGTTGTCGATTGATAGCATATTTTGGAACTGTCACGTTTTTTCATCCATTTACACTAAAGAGCTGAGTATTAGCTGATCCGATAGCGTAATTGATACTGAGATTATCTCTTTTCTATCCTTAAACTAATTTTCCTGTAGCAGAAGCAGAAGCAACCTTGAATTTCAAAAATGGCCAATGCTTCAAAGTTTTACCATTTGCGTTACAGGACTAGGCAAGGTCATATGAAAAGGATTAATGCCCTGCTTAATAATCATACCTTAGTTTTCCTTACGCCTCTACAACGATGTACGGTAGAGATAAGCAAATGTCTTTTTCAAGCTTTCTGCAGGTTCACAAATGTGAATTACGAGCTTTCTGTAGACATTGCTAGACGGATGATCCAAGACCAGGCAGACCTTTTTTAAATCCAATTGCAATTATTTTGCTTATATCTTTTCAATTCGGTTTTCAAAGCCTCTTTGCTCGTTTCCAGGTTAAGAAAGCGTTTACACAATATTATCCTATTTACTATTCCTCATCTCTTCTAATGGATCATGCTTTCATTTCAAAAACCCTTGTCTTATTTACAAGGATTTTGTCACGGTATACGCTGTTTTTATCGCAGAAAATTTTGTGCTTGTAGGCATGCTTACTAATCTATCATAAATTTATTGAAAGAGAATGGAAATTCTTCATTAGCTTTAATAATTTATAGGGTTACAGGAAGCATTTTCACGACAGGTCTATTACGTTCTTAAAACTGGCCTCAAAATGGCGTTTCTGATTTGCCTTTTTCCAATCCACAACTGGGTAGAGATATTTCCTACTGATAATTATTTTGATATCTTTTACTCTGAAGAACGTCATGCGAATAGCTTCTGATAAAATTTTCGCCTATTTCAAAGCATTTTAATTTTGCAAATGAATTTAACTTGAAATAACCAGATTCCATGCACATATCTTCATGCCTCCCAAAGCTACAGTAAAAATTCATTGCTCCAAAGTATCTTTGTTAAGATTCAAAAATATTTTTAAACAGGTTCAAAATATTTTATAAAACTTAACAAAATTGCTTTGAAGCTTTTTGAATCCCTAATAGAATACGAGTCAACAGCTTTTAAAGACAATGGTCACGAATTGTTAAAATGAAGTTTGTTTCATACAATCATTTTGATCCTCAAATTAATCTCCGCAAATACAGTCAACATAAAAATGGTACAAGGTATTTGGTGTAAAGTAGTGATACGTCACAAATTATACAAACAATGATAAAATTATGTTTACAGTTACAAAACAAAATGATTCTCAGTTGCAACTCCGACTTTCCCTTTTAATGCTATCGTCAGGCAACTGGAAAAGCATAATCTCCTCCACAGAGACTATTGTATAGGGAAATAGGGTGCGAGAAAAGGTGGAGCTGCATTTTCTTTCTCCTTCTCCTTCACAGCTCCTCTATGTTTCATTTTATCCGCAGTTCGTGTTATCCTTTTTTGCTTCCCCATCTCCTTCCCCAATAGCCTTTGTGGAAAAAAGGTGGGCAAAGCCACATAACCGATGATGGCATTATGTATGAAACTCGGAGCTGCGACTAAGAAACGTCCTGTTCTATACACCAAAGGGTGTACAGCTCTGCCTAATAAGCATCGTGCACTTGATAACAGCAATACAGTTTGATAACGAAAGGTGTTAGAGACTTGCAGTTATTGCTTTGCCAAGATATCGCTGATGTTAAGGAAATTTATATTTTTCAAATATACTTTTCATTCTAAAAAAAGTCTCTAGATGCGTAAAATTGTATTGATTTATCAAAATACCATTCTATTCTATTTAAAAGAATATAAAAATGTCATAATGGTAGGGCGGTAGCTACTATTGTCCTTTGGGACATGTACCTTCCCTTGGAATTGATCTTTGGTTTCTAACAAAACACTCCAATTTTTTTCCATTTTTTCTCAAAAAATGTTCCCCAATGATTAAATCCTTACCTGAGCACTATATGAAAGGATAATCATGGCAAAGCAATACACAAATTCAAAAGAAATTGAAATAAAAAATCATGACTTGAATTAATTGATAACACGGTCAATTTGAGCAGTTTGCGAAGCATAAAACCTTTATATAAACGACCTGCGAACAGAGACTATATATTATGGAACAATGCTTCTCAAGCCTTGACGCAGATCGGAATAATTGGAAGCTAGAGGATGCAGATTCACCTAATTAAGCTAAGAAAATTTGGAACATTTGTAGGACTTTTATCCCAAACATTAGATTTTTCACGTGTATTCATGATCTTGTCAAGGCATTTAGAAATCAATATTTGATCGAGAATTCCACAAATAAAGACTTTAAGTTGAAAGATTCCCATTCGAAAACATTACTTGTCCTATTACCTTTGTCTACAGACTAATCATGTAAACAGTTAAATTGAATTATTTGAAGACCAGTAGCCAAAACATTCTTTTGATTTGTACGAGCAAGCGAGAACTATCCAGTCAGTATTTGGGATTAAGGAAAATTAATATTAAACTTTTATCTTTTGCAGAAAATGTCTCAAATCAGTTTGTGTATAATAAGCAGGGCAGGCATTATGGAAAGACGGGGGGTGACGGGGTTAAGGGGTGTGACCACCCACCTTGAGAAAAAACTCCGTTGCAAAAACTTAGAGCTTTCTGTCGTCTAGTTATGCTTAGCTGACAAATTCTCGAATTTGTTGGCAAATAAAGGATGGCTAGCAAAGTTGGTCGGCAAATTGCACCTGGAAAGCCCCTTGAGCTGTAAGGCTTCAGTTTAGCTGTAAGACTGAAAAAGTCAGTTGAGTTGCAAGGTTTTAATTATGTTAATTGATGTTGGTATTAATAAAAGCATATCTTCCTTTATATTAGGTTACAGAAGAGCTCTTCTTTACGATTTTCAAGTCATTTCTTTTGATTCATGCTCGTTTATTCTGAAAAACTGTTTTTACTGACGTTCAACTTCTCCACTTATCCGAAGGGTATGACGTTAAACGGATATTTTTCTATCGATCTAGGTTGCGTTTTTATATTGTTGCAAAAAAGAACATATATTTGTTCTAATTTATGGAGTTTTTTAAATCCATCGTTTAAAACACCAATGGTTTTTAACGTTTAAAGCAATGGTTACAAATAGTGAGGTTTTATTTTTAAATATGTAAAGTAATTTTGTAGAGTAATTCCTTATGGTCCTTTTTGATGCAAGAGGTCTTCTTTATCGATTTGCTTATTATTTTTTATCAATGTTACAATATGCAACTGTCCATTGGCAAAGACGTGTTATCTTAAAAGAAGCTAAACTTCTCAAAACTTCGATATGCAAAAGCTCCTTTCCTTATGCTGGATTATTTACCCTTTGCATGAATTATTCTTCCATCGAAATAAGATCATATGCTTTTGCGTGCCTGAGGTCTCCAGCCAAAATCAAAAGGTGTTTTTTGGGTAACTACTTTTTTCATCAAATAAATATATTCACATCTGTATAAATTGACAGAAAATTACGTTTTTCAAAATATCTCTATAAATTCATAAACAGAGTCTTTTTCTATTGAAGGAACATTTTTTTATTTTGAATTTTTTCTCGCATAACATGAACTGTGCAGTCTGTACAATCAAAACCCAATTTTCCTGCATAAATTTGAATGAATTCAATGTCTGCTAGAAATGTCCAGTACTGATTCGACTATTTGCTTTTTGGTTGAAATTATCGTCTTTTAAACAGATATGTTGATAGCAACGGCCAAGAATTTGAAAGCTATTCTGCTTGATATCACCATGACTTGCAGAAGGCTTGAACTTTGTTCAAGGGCTGCATTTCCGAACGTCTTCTGTGAAGGTAAAGTAACTGAAAGGCTGCCCTTGAACGAAACTCATATGCTGATTTGAATGTGCAATGAAAATTTGCCCTTTGCGAGATTATCAGAATTATTCGGCTCGATACATTTATTCATACATATAAGTTTTTTGCTGTATACAAGAGAATACTTTTCCTACGCTTAGTGCTTCAGCTACTGATATTATGTATAGATAAATTGTGACAAGCAACAACAAAAATTTGCACAAAATACTAATAGTACAAAACAATATAGTCTTAAGGAGATGGGTGGATAAAACTACTAATATAGTTAACTGATTATAGCTCCCGTCGCCAAAAAGGGTTCGTCAAAGTGACTCCCAAAAAATTGTTTAACTTTTTGCTGCTGCCAATGAAAAATTTCAAGGAAAGAATACTGCTTTACATACTGCAATACTGCCTAATAACTACAAAAAGTACGACGATCTGGCTCGCCTAGAGTTTTTAATGTCTTTTTTAACAGCTTCGGCATGACAGGTCCACCTTTTATTGATGTTGTGAATTATTATCAAACAAAACCCCTGGAAATGGCTTCCAAACTAGGCAAAATGTGCACTCTGTGTTATAAAAACATACTTAAATCCGATTAATACATTTTCATATTATTTGCCCTTCACAAAAATCGTTATCTCATCTCAAACTGACGTAGGATGTCAAAGTAGATTGCTTTAAAAACTTTACAAGATCCTTGGTACCCTGGGGGCCAGAGTCACAAAATCTAGTGAGGAACTAGAAGAGAAGAGCGGAGAGAACATACTTCGTTTCCCAGCGTCTCTCGAGCTCAAGTTTGTGTGGCTTTGGTACCTCTTTGGTGGCGCAGGGAAACAGGCTAATGGCAGAAAAATTTCTCAAAAAATAGCAGAAAGTAGAAATTTGCTATTTTTCGGCTATAAAATGAGGGAATCAGCCCTACTGCCCCCTACATCAGTTCTATATTTCTGTGAAGAAATGTCTTTAAATTTTCTTTTAACTCTAGTACAAAAACTCTAAAAATTCATTATTATGACGTCATTGTCCAAGTTCGTTACCTAAAAAGACCGTCTGACGAGTCTCGAAGTGCATCTGCCAAAAGCTTTAATCGTTTTCGCAGATTCACGTGAGAAAAACACAGGAATAATTGATTGATGCCGTTTATATTAGAAACCAATCAACTACGGGGAGTAGCAAAAATTAAAGTTTTTGCTCATAAGCCTGGTAGTTTGCGTAGATACATTTTATGTAATTGATGTTTACCAAGGCAAGGCGAGTCGAGGTTTTGATAGTAATTTGCTTTCTGTGAAATAAGTTTTTTCAGAGTTTATAAAGTGCATTTGGGCAATTGTAACTATTCCAATGAGACGTAAATATTGAAAACTATACCATGTCACTTTCGCTCGCAAAGTACCTTGAGTAAGATCACATTTGGATGGCATGTATAACAAGACATTTATAACAATTGATTTTGCCACAATTATGGTCAAAATCTTAAATGACTTCGAAGGAACATGAAGTATAAAGCTTATTTTCTAAATAACGTTGATTTTGTAAAAACTATAAAATTGATTTGCTAGATAAAGGCTATGAGTATTGTATTTAAAATTACTTCTTTGAATCACTGTTGTTAAATACATTCTGATCTTCAAAGGGCTCGATATTTTTTGTTCGCCTATATATTAATCCAACCACAATTCATTTCAACAAAGCCTTAGGGTGAAAATTATGCAATTTTATAGATGATTATAATTTATGCTTGCAATAGGAACTAAAGGACATACATGTATTTGTAGAAACCAAACATAGGCTGAATATGCATGGCGGATGTCTCGTAGCTTTTGAGATCCATTAAATACTCCCAAAGCCTTGTAAGAGGTTATCGTTTGAAAAGTTATATAATTTTATTCAAAATCCTAATAAAGCAATATGGATTCTAACGAGGTCCAGCTCAAATTGCATCATAAAAGGAAATGCGGAGGAGAGCATTGATTACATTAATGTAGTTGAAGCAGTCACAGGATAAACACAAAGCTAGAACAAAACAAAGATCGTCGGTGATTGCTTTTTAAATGCGGCGCGCAAGTTACCGTTGCTGAGAGATTCAGGACCCACCTACGTACAACAAAACCCAGTAGGACACTTCACAGTAACTCGGATATTAGTTTAAGAAACCGTGCAGATGACAAAATGATGAGAAACGAAGTGTATTGTAGTGTTTAAGCGAACAGGTTGTGAACTAATGTGTTTGTGTTTCAGAGAAAGAACCGTTGCATGAAAAGAAAGCTAATTTACTGCATCAACTGCTCGGAAGCAGGTATCAAATCCATATTATAAAGATTCTAAATGGATAGCAAGACGGAAATGGCAACTCTTGAGCGAGAATGGACGGAACAATACCTCGAGTATTACGTCAAGAAATATCTGGAAGAATACGAGGAATCTACCAGTGACACTTCGGAAGGTTCAGATTATAGCATGATGGACTGGGATTTTCAAAAGAAAGGTTAGTGTGCTTTATTTTCTAACCATTATCTCGTTTTGTGAACATTATGCAACCGACCCTGGAAGGAAAAGAACATCTGGATAAAATTGATGGTTAATTCGTCAGTCTGCATTGCTAAAGTGAAATTGAAAAGTTTTCTCACACTACAACTGGGCGAACTTACACCTTTTTGTAAGCAAAGCATGACCAAGACATTTCTTTCTTGCATTAAGACGCGTGAACAATATTTTCTTGTGCAGCAAAGTCTGAAGAGCCACCAGTTCTAGAATCTAAATCGTTTACTTAAAGAAAGCTTTTCAGTTTAAGCTGGTACATTAAGACGCGTAACATTTCCTTGCAAATATCAACCATCATCAGAACCTAGATTTCTTCATTAATGCTTCTACACATTTAATATACATTAGAAACAATAACTTCAAATCTTATGACATCGACTCTTGGCAAGCAGAACCTTAATTATTGGACAGCAAAAAAGATCGATTATCATAGAAAAACATTTAATTGTCTATCCAAAAAAGGTCGCAAATTACGACAACAGTGGTGACTGAAAGTCACTCAAATTAACCACTTCAGCACCGCAAGACCAAATGTTCTCAATTATTTCGTTAAGCTAGACCAACACGGCATGAAGCAGGGGTCGTGTATTCAATGTAGTAATCGCAGCGTTGCTGAAATAGCTAGCCAGCAAGAATCTGGTGTCACTGCTTGTAGCTTACTATATCTTTCAGTCCAAACAACAGAATACTGTGCCATTTCATAGCATAGCGTGAATTCTTTCGATTTAGGAAACGTAGACCAAGATATCATTGATTTTCTGATATTGATTTTGGATCTAACGACAAAGTAAAGCAAAGTGGTTCTATACACATTCGTTGTTTTTTATCGCTCGGAAAAAGTTCTTGCGAGAAAATTGTATCGATAAACTTGCGTTTAGGAAGGAGGTAGGGATGGAGGAATTCAGAGAATATCTTAGCGAAGAGAGTTTTATTATCTGGACTTCAATAAGACTTTCCACCAGCAGAAAATAGTAACATATAGCCATGGTTTATCCTCTATATGCTCAATCAAACTTAAAGTTTTGGTAGGGAGAGCTTTGCATTTAAGCATATGTTTTTTATCTCTGAAACTATGCTCTCAAAAATTCTTGGAAGTTTTGAGAATTCTTTTCCTGTCTTGAATTTATCAACCCCATGAAGGCTTCGGTATCTTTGAACGACATTTCTTTCATATTATAATCGCTAATATGCTATAGCCTCAAAGAGAAACAATTCAATATGAGATTTGCAAGGTTGATCGAATCCGATTAACTACACGGGGGCCCAGTTTCTAAAATAATCTTAAAGCAGGGGATTATTATTGAAATGACCATATATTGTCTATAATGAAAACGATCCCCAAGGCACTTTTGAAATCAGAAGATGATTATTTCTTGAAGCTCTAAGTAACAGCTCATAACAATTTGACGATCTGATTGAGCTAGATGCACCTATATATGTTGTGTTCGCTGTATGCATTTTATGTATTAGATGCAGGCATGAGCTAGGTTTTTTTAAGTATATTTCTATAGTGGATTTATTGTCTTTAATTTGAAGTGAAATGACTTTTGAGAAGAGAGGGGAGAGTAGGGATATACATATTTGATCGACTACAGTAACATGACATTTCGCGAAACAAGTAGCGTGTGAAAAGGACTTTGTGAATATAATATATGAATTGCAAGACTTTTCAAATATTTGACTTCAACTTGGTGATCCTCGAGCTCTTTTACTATTCACTTACTCCGTGCATAAAGATTCTTTCTAGATGCTATACATTTAATATCTTAATCAATTAATCATAACACGCCGAAATACATGGCTTACGAACTATACCTGCTTGGGAATGATGACCTATATCCATTGTTTAAAGCATATTGTATCGAATCTTTAAACATATCGAATTAGTCATAGATCCAACACTTTGATACAAAATTGCCTCTTTGCTAACTTGAATTGTTCATAATTGGAGTCATAGATTCGTTAGATACATAATATTTCACTTCATGACGACTTAGAGATGCTACTAGGCAATTTTTTGAACCATTAAGAAAAGAGCAAGAATTTATCAAAACTGTTTTCAGGCAACGATCCTACGATCAAAACTGCTTTCAGTAAAGATTTATCTGAATCAATGCAACCATTCGGTCTCCAGTCTGCCAACGAAAAAGGGGCATTAAGGGCTATTAAAGCTAGGGGTCTAGCACTTGTGAAAAAATTGATTAGTTATAATTATCTCTTGTATCAATGCATACGGAACTTCGTCTGTTTGAGAAGGACCTTTTCATACATTGCTGAGATGTTTTTCAGTTAGCTGATGACAAAATTTGTTTCCCGTCATACCACGGGAAATCGCATTTTACAAATGTTCTTTCAGATCATCTCTTCAAAATGCAACTGTCATGCAAAATTGCCACAAATCACACATGTTTTTGTACTTCATTGGTTGTTTTTCTTTAAGAATAAAATGTCTCAAACCAGGGTTTCTGAAATACATGACTGAAGAAGTCCATCATAACACCAGGCTTTCACTTACTGACACACTATCATGCACGTAAATGTTTAAATTATTAATGGAAATTATTCCTACTCCCCATGAAATGTGAGAATTTTCTCATTGAAAACGGCAATTAGACTTTCTAATATGTAGAAAGACACTCTTTCTGGATCTTTTTTTACAATTCAGATGAAAACAGAAGAGATTTTAGGAAAAGCAAAACACGAACTAGACAATCAGCACAGGTTTCCTCTTAGAAAAGATTGATTTTGAAATCTATTTTGATAGAGAAGTGTGGTTTTGTTAGTTAATCATTAAGTCATATACCAGTGCATTTGCTTTTTATGAAAAAGTGCACAATTTCTTCTTACTTCTTCTTTCTTCTATGAGGGGTAAAATTGCACTTGAGGAAAGCGACATCTTTTCTTCGGTAATCTTCAGTCGGCAATAATCCTCCAAACGGGCCTGTTTGTGGTCGACCTTCCATCTGGCGGAGAATCTTTCTCGGTAGGTCGTTGCTAAGCCAACTCATATTAACAGAAAGCGTTTTGTTTAATATTAGGTTTCTGATGGTGACCAAGGTCAAGTTACTAAATTAACATCCATGCTTGACAAGATGTTTTTTCCAAATTGGCTTTTTACCTACATTATTTTTTACCTACAAGTATTCCAAAACTGAACAAGACCACTTAGCGACTTATTATTCCACAAAACTGAAATTGAATTCTGGTCACTACCAGTGCTATGGAAACGAGCTATACCAAGAAACTTGAAATAGCATGAAGATCCAGGTGGGACTTAAATATAGCAACAATCTACCCTTAATTGTCAAGGGATATCTAGAAGTGTGGTGCAGCTTCTTAAAAAGCTAATCTGCGTGGATCCGATCTTGCTTTTGAGACAACTGTCATCCAAAGAAAGATTTAGAAATCTTTAAAAAAAGCCAAACTTTTTACCGTTTTCAAGCTGTATTGAAATTTTTCCATCAAAACACAGTTTTCTGATGTAATTTCTAAAGCACAGAACTAAATGTATTTGTTGGTGACGTTTGTTTGGTTTTCGAACATTACCAAAAGCAAATGCATGTGACAATGCCACTTTTATAACAATGGGTGAGCAGATAGCAGCTTGTAAAAAGAAACTGAAACAGCTTCTTCAAACCCCTTTTGTCAGTGGATGGACGTCAGCAATGTTCCCGGCAGCGAAGAAGGAAGAATATCAGAATACATCTCTAAAGGTCATAAAACTGAAAGTCACCGAGGAAGAAAGGCCCATAATGTGTATGTTTATAAAGGTTTGATGCCACTAGTGAAGTTAAAAGTATGTTGAAACAACTCTTGGCATTAAATGAAACAGCAGGTATAGAGAGAGTTCATGAACTGTTATGATCAGATATGGACCTGAGCTTGATTTCATTAGAATTTGGCGAACACATTGATTGCTCTGCCTGCAAATATCCAAGAACACTATCAATGTGCGATCTTGTTAGCAAGTTGACAAAAATGAAAGATATGTTTGATAATGTTGCTAGAGTGCTTCCAAGGTGTTTGTAAAAAATGAAGGCTCCATCCAGAAACATAATTGATAAAGAGTCGCAAAATTTTTTATTGTACATTCAACACAACATTCAACACAACTGCCTAAATTTGATTAGTTTGGCTCAAGACCAGTTGTCACTGATTAGATAAGAAACAGAGAAATCAAAAGAACAGAGTGGGTTTAAAGGGCTTTTCGAGACAGCAACTAATGCAGTAGAGAATGAAGATGAAAGAAACGAAGATCCTGACAAGTCACATATTGAAACTCGTTGATTTTTAGCTGAAAAATGTTATCTTGACAGAAAAATTCTTGTAGTTTGCTATCGTCCTGTTTGAAATTGGAAATTGGGAAATAATAAGAATTGGAAAAATTCAAACCTCTGAGCAGAGAAAACTCGACCATAAGGGCCTGTTTATATGGTAAAAAAAGTCCCACCTTCCAGCCTGTGGGCTGGGAGATGAGATCCCACTCTTCTATAGAATCCTTTGTGATTTTCATCTTGCGTTTATAAGGAAAACAAGCCAGCCCGGTTAAGTAAGATCCCACTGCACGAGAGATGGGATCTCACTAAGGTGGGACGATTTTTTTCCATGTAAACGCTGGAAGGTGGGATGAAGCTGGAAGATGGGATGAAATGTTCATATAAACGCGATCAAACTTCGTCCCACTAGTCAGCATACAGAGTGTATGGTTGGACGATGTTCTCCATATACACCTGGAAAATGGGATAGAATCTGCATGTAAACATTCGATGATTTCATCCCATCTGCCAGATTATGGGCTTAGAGGTGGGATAAATGTGCTCATATAAACAGGCCCTAAGAGTGATCTTAACAACAAAATCACTGGTAGAAAGCTGTTAACTCAAAGGGACTTTTTCAGCAACGTAAGCCTGGTAACTAGCAAAAACTGTTCGAAAACTGGGACACGACTGGAACAGTGTGCGTGTCCCCAAGTAAAATACTGTAAAAAGTGAAAGATGTGCTCCATCTTTGCATGTTGCCATGTTACTGGTAGTTGCCATACTGCTGCTGGGAGTTTCCAGAATTCTGTTCGTGAATAAGTTTCTTTTGAGCAATAAATATTCGCTTATTTTAACCTAAAATTTTGTCTTTCAGTCTAGATATGTCTTATACAGTAGAGAGTGAACACAGTTTTGTAATGCAAAAATCTCTGATTCGGCGAGAGTGAACACAGTTTTGCAATGCAAAAATCTCTGATAATGCCTCATTATCTAAGAGGTATGAAATAACTCAGAAAACAAAAGTGTCCATAATTGGAATCAAAATGGCTTTGCAGAAGTTTGTAAGTCTTGAAATTTTACCAATTCTAAAAGGCGCAGAGGCTACGTCACATTATATATCTAGTTAGACCTAAAATGTAGTGCAAAACACCACAGTATGAGACGATAGCACTTTTTGGTTTCGGTATAGCTTAACAAAAGCTCCAGGTTCAATGGTATGATTTCTCTTAAATTCAAGCAATGCTTAAACGTTGCTAGGTGATCGAAGCTGTCGCTGTTAATTGCCTTCTCGGATTACAGTTTCTAAATGAACACAACGTGAACAAATACGTTTAGGTCAACGATGGATTTTGCATGTGGTAGATTGATCCAAAACGTCACAAAAGGTACACAAGGATTACTGTTATGTACTTCAAATCAGATTGCATAATTTCTTCATCTACTCAATATGTTAGGTCGCCTTTTCTCAATCTAGGTGTTCAAGAAGTTTTGTCAAAAATCTTTTGTTATTTGTTTTGTTGAATTGATTCTCTAACTATTTATTTCTTTTAATTTAAGTTCAATTATATTTCGCCCAACGTTTTTCTCGAGCACATAAACAGCCATAAAGAAATTTTAGCCATAGGAGATAGATATTTTTGTCTATACAGCGCGTAAGAAATCTTCTGTGGTCAAAATTGAAAGCTTGTAGACGATAGGTACTAGCTTGTGAATATATCCTAACCTGCAAGGCCTATGTCTGTTCTCAAACAGTTCCACGTATGATAGCAGCTGCTATGGTAGGATAAAAACGGGAGATTATCAGCTAGTCTTTTATAATTTAAGTTGATTATCGACTTATGCTAATTTGCTTCGAACTAGGCTACCAAAATGTAGAGATTTTTACAATACTCTGTGATTGCTTGTGCTTAGAAATTGCCTTGGAAATTCGGTTCTAATTCCGCTGCAGTAGCGTCTCCATTAGCATCAACTTAACGAGCATTGAGAGTGTACTTGTTTCACGATTTTGAAGCTGTATGAAGCAGGTATGATTTCCAGCCTAACGCCTACTCAAATCACGCTCTCCACTAGCATCTACTAACAGAAATCTAGGGCATTTCTGCAATGAACACGTTTGCGTTTATTCAAACATAAAGTAAAAATTGCAATACAACAACGCTAAACAATATGAGAGTCAGTGATTCTTCAAATTTTGCTCTTCAAGGACTGCTAGAGCGAGAAAGGCTGTGGCTAAAAGCAAAAAGAAGGAAGAAGATAACAAAACATTTCAATACTATGGTCAAGTACTCTACATTTCATGGCCTACAGTTTTGTTTCAAAAAGGAGAGTCCTTTACGGCGAACTGTCTGGTGTCTCTTGCTACTTATTTGCAATGGATTACTTGTTCAAAAGATGTTTGAAAGCACTCAGCATTATCTTGAACATCCATTCAGTACAACTAAATCTGTGAAGTACAAAGAAAGCTTAACTTTCCCAGCCGTGTCTCTATGTAACCTAAATGACATGAGACACTCTCGAATGGTTGGTACGAAACTACACAAGCTTATCATAGAACGACAACAGAATATCTCTAAACAATTGAGTGGCAATGAGTATATGAACACAATACGACAGGCGAACCATAGACTAGAAAACATGTTATATTCATGTACAATGGATGGGGTAAAATGCACATCTGAAGATTTTTCGTTGTTCTATCATAAGCAAGGAGACAAGTGTTTTACTTTTAATTCAGGAAGACCCAGGTACAAGCTAGTCAAAACAAATCGTATTGGTCCACAACATGCGCTTGAATTAACAATCAATATTGAATTTTGGGATTATTATGACGACGCAGTTCAGTCGGGGATTCACTTGATTCTTCATGGCCAGGAAGAGACCCCAGTTACAATGGAAGGATTTAGGATCTCACCTGGATTTATCACCTATGCAGAAGTAAAGAAAACACAAGTAAGCTAGATACTTATATGAAAGAGCATCCTATATAATGCTTTTGAGATATTTATTCAAAATAAGTGCCTTTATTTATGCTTCTCAGGCAAAATTATTATATAGCTGACTATAGATTTAAAGCCATCAAAAAATATATACCTTCTACTAACTAGCTTAGACCAGATAAAAATGTAATTCAATCTACTGGTCAGAGCCTTCAAAAATAATTTAAAATGCTTGATTTAAAATAATTAAAAAGTCTTTCTACTGCTTGTAGTCTTTTGCAATCATTTTTTCCATCTTGAGCTAATCGTATTTTTGCAAACACGACCTTCTAATTATAATCTTATAGCTCTATAACCGTCAAACATAGGGAAATCAGAATTATTTTTCTCAATATTTGCATCAGATTTGGGCATGCTATTAAAAGATATAGTATACTACCGTACAAGCTATTATTGAGTAGTATTGTATTGTGATGCCATAATCATCATCATAACCCTGAACTTAACCCTAACCTTATCATTACCCCTTACCTTAATGAAAAATACAAAAATTACATTTAGCATTTTTGATATGCCAGTTTTTATTACAAGAAATGTTTCAATTCTGCAGAGAATAATTTTTCAACAGTTTCATTTTTTCACAAATCTAGCGAAATCTTTCTAAAGTCATTGACCAATGAAGTTTATAAAGAAAAGTTTATTAAAAAAAGCTAGGCTACTTTTATTGACAAGAATGTAGCAGTCATCACTAAGCTTGGCCTATGGCACAGACGAATATCATATAGCGTGCTTAAAAGTTATTATTGATGTTGACAACATGAAAGTATTAACATACTACGCCATTTACAGGCCCTTGTTTTGAAATGCTAAAATAGCTATATAAAACTTCTTATCAACGTGATTTCTTTCAGAGGCGAAATTTACCAAGTCCGTATAAAACACAATGTGGTAGCTTAAAGCTAAAATACTTTAAAGGTTACTCAAGGAATCTATGTTGGCTTGAGCAGCTCACTGATGACGTTGTTGGCCATTGTGGCTGCAAAGATTGGTTTATGCCAGGTTAGTGTAGCGAAATTTGATCTCAAGAAGGCATCATTTATACAACTTTTGTTTGTCAACTAATGTTCTTTCTTTGGCTGAGAAATTGTCTTTTGATTGATTCTAAATAAACTTTGAAATAAAAGTAGAGAAAATCCCAGACACATTCTTCTTTCTAATGCAAAAAAGATATGTAAAGCTTAAAAAATAATGGGACGTAAAGAATATGAGTCATTCCCTATTTTGAATTTGAAAAGAACACCTTCAAATTTATGATAGGACGATTCATACATATGTTGGTATGACAGGTACCTCAAACGTAATCTTTTATATAGAAATGCAAGATGTTTCGAAGTTGTCACATAAGCTCTGTTTTCAAAAATCAACTAATAGGACCATGTTTAGATCGATCTCCAGAATCTTCACATCGACCTTGCCATACCCCACTCCCGCAAACAAAACTCTTTTTCTGCAGCAAAGGGACGACAAAAATTGACAAAGCAAAACCCAATGCAAAATTGATCAAAAGATTTCTAAATCCGAAGAGCGGCCAGTAACAGATCAGATATAAACCGAAATTTTGAATGATGAAGTTACATTTTCACCAAGTTTCTCAGCACAAACATATATATTTCAAGTGTTTCAAAAAGCTTGTTCCATTTCCCAAAAGGAGCCATTTTTAGAAACTAGAAGGTCATGGCTCAATAAGTCAAGATTTTTCTTGTGCTTATGATTTCTGATCACTGCTTTATATTTTGTAATAATTTCTTCGTTGTTAAAGACTGACAGTGTATGCTTTAAGTCATTAATTATCTATGATGAAGAAAACAATACAAACGATAGGATGACGAGAACCTGTGAATAACCAATTTCAGTTGAAAAAGCCTTCATGCAGGCAATATGCAGAATCTTTGGAATAATCCAAATATTAGTCTTTTTTATATGGTAAATCTTCGAAATTACTAGCTATGATCAATTTTAGGGTTCTACGAGCATAAAAACTTTTCTTGATATCTAAATTAAAACAAACTATGTGATTGAAAATTGTAACTGACTAAGCAAAATTTAGAGGTTCTGATTCTAGCAAGATTCATTCATTTATTTTATTATACAGGTGATTACAAAGTCTGCTCCCTAACAGAACTGGAGATGTGCCTTTGGTCGAGATGGGGTACGTATAGCTCTTTCATGAAGAATGTTCATGACCGATTCTAGCATGCTGTTGCTTTTGTACCCTGGGTACCAGCCTCACTATATAATAGAAAGTCTCTATTTTATTTTATATATAGTGAGTCTGGTACCCAGGGTATTGCTTTTGCTGCTCTATATAGCTTTGTTTACAACTGAAATGTAGGCACTGTTGTCATGTACAGTCGATAGAACTTCAATGCTTGCCAAAAGTCTCGTAGCATAAAGAGCATTTTTATAATTCACATAAGCAGTTTCCAGACTATCCTTTCGAACAATATTTGATTACTCTCATTAGAAATACAGTATCCTATTTGAACATAACCTGTATTTGCTAAAAAAAGACAAGATGGCTGTGTTACAGTGCCAATGCTGTTTTGGAGCAAAGGGGGCAACTTAACTATTTCTATAGGTGTTAATGGAATAGATCAAGAATTAAGACTGCTCATGAGCTCTTTAACATTCACTTGTTAAGGTGTTGTTCAGCGTTTGTTGAGAGTGCTAAACTCCATCTAAAGATGTTCAGTTGATGTTGATTTATTTTGAACTTTAGGACCGAGCTTGACAAAACTAAAGAATACTCTTAACCTTGAAGCTAATGATATGTGTTAATTAGTTGCATGTTTTAATTCTAGTTGACTTCGACAAGTACAAAAAATACTCGTGTCCTTTGCCGTGTGTTATTGATAGCTTTACAACCAAAACCTCCTTTTCCCGCTTTCCAACACATGATGGATCAGAAAGTATGGCAAAAGAATTGAATCTTAATGGAACGTCTCGGGATAATCACAAGTTTCTTTCGTATGTTCCTTTTCGTTATTTTGACATGTCAATGAGTTATTTCTATCAATGTTTCTGAGATGCGGCCATTTTGATTGATCATCAACAAATTCGCACAATTTAGATTGATAGAAAATGCCCTTTTGTTTTAAAAGTTAGCATGCTTATTGCTGATATGTCTCTACATCAAGAATCATTGGTTACATTTGACTAAGGCTGTTTGTGTTCTCACTTTTAACACTGCTAAAAGTTAGAAATTCAGTGCTGGTAGCAAATTATCATTGTAGATTTGAAAACTTTTAGGAGTAACAAAATAATTTTTTTGTTTTGTCTTCAAAAATATAGGCATCAATAGGCTATCGATGGGAATTTATCATTGAATGGATCACCTTCGATTTTCCACACTAACACCAAAAGTAAACAAACTTACACCAAAACACGAATTTTCAAAACTTCTATAAACGTACTCAGAAAAGTTTAGAAATCTTATGATGAAATGGCTAGGCCTATTTTTGAAACAAAAAGGCGTTTCTGAGATTAATATAAGAACCAAATGAAACGCAGTATTTATATCTATCAATAAAATTTTCATGAACTTACTGCAATTCTCTGATGCTTTTCTTAGCTGAATTTATCATTATCCTTTACTGGCCTTTTGTCATCAGTTGTATAAAGAAGTGAAACCTCAAAATATTCTCAGATAAATTGATGCAAGCTCCGTTGTAAAAATATAATTTTACAATTGTTTACATTTCTTTTTAGGGACAATTTTCTGAAAGTTGTTATCTATTATGGTGATCTTAGCTACGAATATCTTGAACAAAAGCCATCCTACGACTTGCTTGTTTTCTTAGGTAATACTTTCATTTCGTTTTTACTACTTAATTACTTAATGGAATATAACTATATGCAATGATTCTCTTTTGTATATGATTCATTATGTCTTATAAAAACTTAAAATTATGAAACAACTCTACTACCAATACTTCAATTAACATTACAACAATTTCAAAATATTTCAAACAATATCATTTCTCATATTGTTGTTATTTAAAAGTATCACTTTATTTACTTTTATAACAAATTAAAATTAAATGTTAAATGTAAGAAAGAACTAAACAAGTAGTACTTCAAGCATATAAAAACTAAAATGAAATGTCCACCAATATTTGAAAGCTAGCAATTACAGAAACAGCAGTGCTTATGTGAAATAAACTAACCCCTAGCTGGTTATATTTATAAAGAAGAGTGACGTAACTGTGACTACTACAAATTATATTAATCTCGAAAAAAATATTGATAAAAAGTTTACGTCTGAGTGCTTAACAAAAATAAAAGACATGTGATCTCTTATCAGATTTATACATTTTGCTCCTCAGTGGTTAACGTTAATTTAATAATCACACTAAATTTTTTTATCATGCTACTTTGGCTTACAGAAACTTCCCTTTAAATAGCACTAAAGGGGCTTCTTCAGCCAAAAGATATTTTTGACTTGCAAGATGTTTTCTGATGTCTACCGCGGATAAATATACTATTTCTTAAAACTCCAATTATTCAAAAAGTTTTATGGTTAGAGCCTTGACTTTATCAAAAACGCTAAAGATGAAGCATTTTGAAGACATTGTAACTTTATAATGGTTTTGATTTGTCACCAATTGCTGGGCAATTCTTATGAACTTAAAATGACGCAGAGAACAAGCGCTTTAACTAAATTTATATTGGAAAGTGTTTAATTTGATACTGATACGAATAATCTACATTATAATAAGTACATCAGTTTGATTTATCATTTCTATAACGATTCAAATAGAACAGGGTGAGTGATAATGCACTCTGTCACCTGAAACTGGCCTGGGCCTTGGGGATCTCTCCTAAATATTTTAGCTCGAATAGATAGAAAGTCTTTGTTTGCCATATTCAGAGCATGCAAGCAATTGAGAGGATGGGACTTGCTTTCTGAAAATTTGAAAAACTTTTTACCAGGAAACAGAAATACATGTACTGCAACAAGAAGCATCAATTTTTTATACATTTTCTAAAAAGCTACTTTCTTTTTAATCTTTGTATAAAAATGCCAAACAGTACTCGATAAATTATTGTCAATAAACTTTGCCTAGAATTTTCGTCAATAAACTAAACATCAATAAACAGCAATCTAAAAATTGGAGTGTTTTGTTTGCGTTTAACTCAACTTTTTTTAAACAAAGGTGCCATGTATTAATTCCCCAAATGCTTTAAAATTAGAGTTTGTAGTTTTTTATTTGGAAGCCAGCTACAAAGAAGTATTTTTTACAGGTGATATTGGTGGTCAAATTGGGTTATTTGTTGGTGCAAGTGTTCTGACGTTCTTCGAATTTATTGACTGTTTTCTCATGTGTATTCATGCAAGGTTCTTCGAGATTTTCAGACCAAGGGAAACACAGCTATAATGAAGGTAAAGTACATTTATTTATTAACCATGTGAATTTTCTGAAATTGATTCGGATTTTTTGTTATCAAGGAAAATTAAGGAAAAGGGTTTTTGATCCAACGATAGGAACTCGATTTTGAGACCGCTTCAGATTCAAATGGTATAGAAAGGCAAAATTTTGAGCCAGTTAAACACTAATAATCATTTTATTTCCAACTCATTTGAATGTTAACAGACTTTCTCCCAACTCAAAATAAACAAGCAAAAAATTACGAAAGACTGAGTTTTGACCCATAGTCGAAACCTTTTTCTTAATTGATAAAACTACTGCCTGAATCAAAATTCCACTTGCAACAAATTACTTTATTATATAGTCTTATTTCATAAATTCTAGTTCGTTTTGATAGTAAAATCTCTGATTTCTCATTTGATAATATGCTGAAAAGGTACTTAATTTTATTTCTGTTAAAGTTTTTTTTATATTAGAGCATTTTGCCTCTAATTCACCTTCATTGCAAGTGTTGAAGACATTCCTTTTCTTATTAATTTTTTTAATCTTTAACTAGTTATTATTTAAACCGTATATATAATCCATTGCATATTTCAATCTTCCTGCAAACCCACACTAGAATTCTTTCACATATTTCTAAAAAAATATTTTGACCTTATAGAGTAAATTTAATATATTTAGATGAAATAAAATTATTTGAAAATCCAGTGTGCAAAATAGTGGATAAAATGAGAACTTGATGCAAATCTCTGAACTCCTGAAGCGAATTTCAATCGTTTTCAATAGCTAATCGGTAAGACAGTAGTATAACCTTAAATCATACGTCGAAGACTCGTTTCAGATTGCAAATTCTACTGTTTATTGTATTAACATTTCACTGCAACTTTCACTAATACCAAAATTCAAAGAGAGTTTGAAGGTTGACAGTTTTTGATAAAGTTTCAAAAGAACCAATGATTCTAAATGGTTGGTCATTTCTCCTGGCTAACTTAATCAAAAAAAGCTAAGGAAAAACATTAATCTCTGTTAGACTTGGTATCTCTTGCTTTTAGGACCATTCAGACTACTCTTACGTTTTGCTTTTCCAAAAATAGTCTCAATGACATTTTAACTTACCCAACCTACAATCCCGGACAAAGTTGTTGAGACAAAATGCAATTTCTACAATTTTTTTACTTTATGTCGCCCCTATAAATTCGAATCCCCCCTTTCCCCCGAATCAATGTTGGATTTGTAGTTCTATCATTTCTTCAAAACAAGGCTGCAAAAAATTATAAACGGGAAAACAATTGCTGAATTGTCTCAAATGAGGATCAGTAGCATGAATTTCACATTTTTATTATCATTATTATCTAAAAGAAAAATATTAAGGGTACCAAAATCAAGGGAGGACTTATTTCGTTTGGAACTAGGTTCCATATTTTGCTCGATCTGCTTGACAAAGATCTTGAGAGCAGAAGGAAGCATATTATCTTTAATTGTTAAAACAGCTGTTACAGAAAGCCAGGCCACAATTATATAAATATCATTTTCTGGCCTAGTTGTATGTAGTGCCACCGAGAGGTTTTGGAGGCCTTGCACCAGAATCGAAAGAAGAGGTCCTTTGCGAGCGAAGCGAGCAGAAATATTATGGCGAACGTGCCCTTTAAATTCCTTAAAGATTCATTTCAGAATTCTTTTTGCAGTCACCTTCTTGCAATCGCTTAGAAAGTTGCACAATTTTATTATGTTCTTATTGCTTTTACAAACTGGAAACCTCGAGAGCGCCCTTACCCTGGGTAGCAGACTCACTATTTTATTTTATATATAGTGAGTCTGGTACCCAGGGTAGTGCGCCCTAAACCTCAAGGCCAATTGTCAATTTTCCATTGCCACCACCTTTTTTATAACCCTTGCTGTGAGTTCATTTTTTGGTGTTTCTAAAAGCAGATCGAGAAGAAACATTTTAGATTATCGTCCAAAAAGGTCACCCCTTTGCTCATTTCGTATAGCACCTGAGCAATTGAAGGACACTTTTTGGTTATACAAATGACAAAAAGAGCAACTCGGTGACTTGCAATGGGGCAGGTGAACTGAATTTTGGAAAAAGGGGCATACGAGCGCACTGTGCCACTCGGGTCCCACGCATTTGCTTGAATTTAAGACATCATTGATGTCTTGGATGATATATCAAGCATATGCGAGCAAATGTTGGTAGCAATCTGAAATCTGCTCCTCAGTATGATCATGAAAGTTAAAGAGAACTTATCAACGAAAATATTTTTTTTTGGTCAAATTGCTTTGTAAATCGTTTTCAGTTCTCATCAAAATGGCAAATATTGACTTTTGCCTTGCATGTAGGTATCAAAAGATGCTTGAAACCTAGATTTTAATAGCATTCAAAATCTTTATATGAATTAATATTGCTCGGGAATCAGTTCCTTGAAAAGGGCACTTTGCTGCCCTCTTGCTGCCCCCACACCACTAGGGCAACAGGGGCAGCTGCCCCCACTGCCCCAGTGGCTCCGGCGCCCTTGCTGGTACAGTATTAAGAAAAAATTAATCATTTGTTTTAAAGGTCTTTCGTATTCATCATTTTTAGAAAGAAGAAAACAGTCAAAATGCTGACTACGCAGTTTTCCTGGAGGTCAACGTTACGTTGCTCATCAAAGAATACTTCAAAGGCAACTTGGTTTTAAATGACTTTCGTCAATGACTTTCGTGTATTATAAAAATGCTGTCACATGTTTGAGATAATGCGTAAATCTTTGACAAGTATTGTACACACAAGTTTGCTTAGAATTGGTAAGTCAGTGAAAAAATTCACTTTCTCATTGTAAATTATTGTAAATCTTTAAATGGTGGAATTAATGGGTTTTGTTGTGGTCAATGCGGTTCTAGGTTTCGTTAATAACGTTTTGTATCTCAGATGACAGGAAAAGTTTCATGAATTGCTACTTATGCTGAGTTCCTTTATATTCGACATTTGCTTTAGTTTGTAATCAAAATTCTAAACAATATGTCAGAAGACAATAAATTAAAAATAACTCATAAGATTGAATTTTAATTTTTATACGTATGGATTTTTTAGTTTTCATTATAAATTGCAAATATCGTGCTATTGTCAATGCAATTTTATGCGTACTAGCTGGCCTCTTTTGTTGAAAAACATTCTCCATATATAAAGAGGTATTGATTAATGTATATATTTATCTCTGCCGCCTATTTGGTATCTTTTGAGATCTTAAATATTTCTAAAGTTAGCTAGACACTATCTTATTGAGCACTGTACCATACCATACCATACCATACCATACCATACCATACCATACCATACCATACCATACCATACCATACCATACCATACCATACCATACCATACCATACCATACCATACCATACCTTGCCATAAACGTGGAGAACGGGGCCCGAATTTTCGTCAAAGATGCAAAAAAATTGAAAATGAATCACGTCCTTGTTAGCTTAAGAGACCAGGTTGAAATGTTGTCGATGGTCGATTTGCCAGGATATCTTAATAAAGTGCATTTAGTGATGAACATAAGTAGAATTGCAGCAAGAATAGTCAGGTCATTACTGCTTTGGCGAAAATGGTTGACATAGCAGAAGTTCTGCTATGTCAACCATCTGCTATTGTTCTGCTGCAGAACAATACTGTTGAAGGCTCACTGGCCATTCTTTTCTTGAAATTTGACGGAATTAAATCCAAAGAATTGCAATCGATAGGAGTGAGCCTACTTGGTTTACAAAGCAGGTCTCTTGAATCCAAACGTCTCTACACGCTGATAGAAATAATACTGCAAATCTTATAGACAGTCTAAACAAGGTTTGTCAGTTTTTATCATAAGTAAAACGATGACCAGAAAAGTAAGAAGATGTTTCGTAGTTTATCGATTGTAATAGTTTCTGGATTCAGATCTTGGAAAGCGCCGCTTGATGATAAAACACTAAATTAGCACGGCGACAATAAAATATATTTTCTGGATTTCTATTTCGACATCATGCCTATAATTAACAAAATTGGTGAGACAAAGTTTGACATAGTCATTAAGACAAAATCAAATTGTTGCCTTTTCAAGTACTTTCTTAAGATGACGCTAGCTAGAGTCGAAACGTTTAAATAACTGATTATTCCATTCTAGGTTGTTTGTTTTGATTTTATAGCATACCCGTGCCTACAGTATACTGTTATAAGGATGAAGCAGTAAGTTTATGTGATAATGTAGCATCAGGGTGCAACTTTAGTACAAGGGGAGCAATTTCAATAATAGCATTTTCAACTCTTGGTGCCAATAAAGACTATATTCTTACTGTTTCACCGGAAACTGATAGGTTCCTCTCTTAACTTAGTCTTTAATAAGTCACTATTTCAATGCAGCTTTTACCGCTTTCTAGATATTTTCAATTTCAATAAACAGAACAAAAAGATTTGTCCGAAGGTAGTCAATTGCTTTATAAAACCATAGGAAGAACAATAAAACTTAGGCACGCGCAACACATTGATGCTGCATCATCACAGAAACTTACTACTTTATACTAAATAATGTATACTGTAGGCGCGGGTATGCTACAGAATCAAAACAAACAACCTAGAAAGGAAGATTCTACATTATAGAAACAGACATTTAGTAACAGACAGAAGACAATCTATAGAAATCAATTGATTTTCTATAGAAATCAAGGTTAGTTATCAAATAAGAATCACCAATTACGCTAAACCCAGTAAATACAGACTAGACAATGACAACGTGCTATTCTCGGGGATGTGAAGTCAATAGTTTCCGATACCCTGTGAATAGGCATATTCTAAATTAGATTTCAACAACAAATGCTATCCTAGGGGATGTGAAGTCAATAGTTTCCGATACCCTGTGATTAGGCATATTCTAAATTAGATTTCCTTATTGGCCTGGCGTATATTCCAGTTGCAACTGCTTGCTTCCCAGCAACGATCATGTTCAATAGATTTTGCGATTAAGGATTTATAAATATTCATATCTTCAGTTATCTATGTGCATATCGTAAAGCAGTTTCTGTATATTTTGCTTATCGAAAAATCAAACGATAATCTCCCAGCTGCTCTTTGTAGACTTTTCAAAGCAAATTTTGACTGTTGAAAGTACAACTGCCACCTTTGATTTAAGACGCTCCTCACATGCTCTCAGTACTACGTTTAAAAAGCAGCAGGCTTTTCTAGAAAAAAATTACGGTGTTATGGTGAAAAAATTCTACGATCGCGAACCTTCAGATTATCTGCTGATTCTCGACAGTTTTAGTTTCATTCATCTTTAGAAGGTATATTCCTCCTAAAACAAATTTACATCCCCATAGAAGAAAATGTTCAAGCAAAACAAGATATTTTTCTAAGTTTTTTGTTTACAAGAAAATCAGTTATCGTGCAACAAAACGACATTCTCAATTTTTAAGTTGCAACACTGTTCTGCTATTTATTCAATGCAGCTCTAGAGATATATGATACTTTCAGGGTCATAGAATTTGCTGATGATTGCGTTTTTTCTATCATGAAATCTCAATTTTTAATTCGCAGAATAAAGTTGCTTGCCAATATATATATTCAATTTCATACATGGCATGTAGAACGCGGAATGATTTAACTTTGTCCCCTTTATCATTCCTTCTTAAGGGTGAGGCTCCTACATATATTAAACGAACTCATACTAGCATTGATTTGGGCGTCCAAAAGTTCTCCCATTAATTCTTTGTCGCATCGCTGTTCCGATAGGAAGTGACTTTAGGTGATCGTCATAAAGCCACAAGTAATCTTTGCAGCGGGGATTTTTTATGTGATCTTTTCAGAGTAAACCATATCGAGGACCTGTTTCGATCGATTTCGATGTTGAATAACTTCCTGTTTTTGCATACAAATTGTTTGCATATTGCTTTCTCGAACAGCTGTCCAATTTTGCATAACTTTACTCTTTATGATTCTGTTAAATTATTGTTTTTGTTGATTATAAGGCATCAGTTATAAAATACCTAGAAACGTCTAGTATTCCCTTAAAACTTTTTCTAATTTTCCTTTTCAGCTGCTCCTGTTACCTTAAATTCAGGAAAAGAAATTATTTGAATAATTATCAACCCATCCAAATGGGTCTTTCTGGCAATAAATTTCCTTACAGCAATCATTCTTTGCAGTGGCATACGATAGGGGTAGATTAATACGATCAGCATAGATTGAAATACAACTAACAATGCATAGAATAAAGTTAGCAACCCATGATAAGCCAAGCAGGTACCTGGCAGACAAAGTTTAGCAGTGGCAATCAGATTCTCTGTTTATGAAAAACTAATTCAATCCAAAGTGACTGCAAAAGCCAATATTGAAACAAAGTTGATCGCATAAACAATTGGATTAAAAAAAAGTTATTCATTGTTTTTATAGGATAAAATAGGATAACTGAACAATGTCGTGAATTAGTCAGGTTTTCTAGAATAGGACAGAGATTCATACGAAATAGCTTTCGATTGATTAGTGAAGAAGAAGAAGAAGCATTTCAAATCTCAACTCAAGTAAAGATATTGTAAGTATCATTCAAACGGAATATGTTTTCATTTAATGAAAATTATAAGCAGAACTATGTGAAGGTAATTGAGAAAGTGATTTTTAAGATGATATGTAAAGAAATGATTTTTTGGTTACCTATTTCGGTGAGATGTTGTTTTGGAGTGAAGCTCTATTTTAAACGAAGGCTTTGAATAAAAAAAGCTACGAAATCGTCCTACAAGAAGAAATAATTCATGGAAATTTAATTGTTGCAGTAAATCCTGCTATTATGAATTCTGTAGGAACCAAGAAAACACATCGTAATGGTTGGATACATTATACTGAAGGTTCTTTGTAGAGGGAGTAATTCAAGCGATCTGACTTTTAGTTCGTTATTATAGCGAGAGGTTCGTTATAAGCCTGCTGGTAATAGCTGGATTTCACTGTATTTAGAAGCATGTAATGGATAGAAAGAGTAGCTGCAAACATTAACGTTGACATTGTAAAAAAACTATGATCGAACTAATGTTATTGTGAGAACTTTCAAAATTATAAGCACCCTTTTGTTTGTAGAACAACAGGATAGTTCTAAGTTGCAACTCCGAGTTCAACAATTGAATCTGTAATTTTTGGCGTAAACAGTTGCCTTGCTAGCGAATATTTAGTTTCCTGATGACCAATTTAAGCGTGAAATCTGAGTTGCAGGTTAATTCTGAAAACCAAAGTATGTACAGCTTTGCCTAAACGGCATCGAGCCGTATATGATAGTCTAAACAACGATATTCATCCCATCAATATATATATATATATATATATAGAAATTTGTCTTTTGATACTTCCGTAGCACAGTGCTCAATACGTTAGCACGTAGAGCGTGATATATCATAGATTGAAGAAAGTAAAACTACATAGTTTATCTCTACAAGCCTGTTTCGAAATAGTTCAGACGAAACAGGCTTGTAGAGATAAACCATGTAGTTTTACTTTCTTCAATCTATGATATATATATATATATATATATATATATTACATTTCAATGTGATAACATGAATCCTATTTCAAACAAAGATACGTTAGAATGAATTTATAACATTTTTCTAATCAAAACAAATGTGCATTATTTCTTACTGAGAATTTCTCAAGACTCAAAGCAGCAACTTTTGCTAAATTAAGAATATTTATTCAAATTTTTATTGCTTAACCTCCTGTCATTCAAAACAAATCAAATTTAAAATCTGCTCTTTTGAATAAAGATTAAAACCATGGTATATGAATTTGTGCCTTGTGAACTGGCAGCAACAATAAACGCTTCATGAATTCTTATCCTTATAAAAAGTTTGGTATATTTACATTAATTGCTGCCAATTCACGTTTTAATGCATCTGTCATTTTTATTCAACCAACAAGATCCTTGTGCTAGCCGCCTATAGTTATTTGTTTTGCCTGAATTGATCTTTTTTAAGACGACAAAATCCTACTTAGTAAGCATAAATATGAGCAAAGAGAGATAAAAGATTCACGAAGTACTCAAATGGTATCTTTGACCCAGGTCATTTATGAATTGCTAACGAAAGTCAAAGAAGAGATAAATAAAACCTATCAAAAGCAAAGACTCATTGAATAACACAATAAATAATGAAAGTGATTGTTTTTAGTTGCATTTTAGATTATATTTGCAAATATAGCTAGCTCTATATTTTAATTCATTTTCTTATGAAATGAAGTACACATTATGTCACCACCAAATCTGGATGTATATGGAATATAACTGATGCGACACTTCAAGGTTATGAAGCACCTCACCGTGGCCACCAATGGACATTTGTCATGGAACAGTGATACGTCACTCTACATTGTTTTTTAGTTGCCGATGTCATATTCTGGGTTTACAGAAAATAAGCTCATAAATCTTTAAAGAAAGAATTTTTTTCCCTTGACAAGAATTCAGCGTGAGCTGAAGAAAATCCGATCTTGTTTGCTCACTTATTTATTGCAAGCTAAACTCAAATCTTGTTAGCTGCAATTAACGATTTTTAGAGAAGGGAAATATGCAAAACTCATCGTTCTTTTTTCAATATGCTTATCCTCAAGCCAAAAACCACCTGCTTTGAATTACGAAGTGTTATTGCAACTTATCAGACATTTAGCAGAATTTGACATTAAGGTGATAGCACACAGAGGCTGACATCTCAGGCTTCAACTTCAAAGTTTTTTTGCCGTTTAATGACTAAGAAAAACATAAAGGACAATGTTGCCCTAACATTGTCTACAAGTTCTTGTCAAAATATCTGAAAACGCCCTTAATGACACATGAACACCCGGCTCTCGTTTCTTCCACCGTTAACGAGCAGCAAATTTTGATTGACATTGATATCAGCTCTGCTGTCAATATCGTATTTCTGAAAAACCAGAAATCATGGTACTAACAAGGAAAACATGGCACATTTTGCCAATTACGAAACAATTTATTCAAAAAAGCAAATAGGTGAAAACATCATAAGTGTCTCATGGGGTTTGTTTGTAAGGACAAGAAGCTCTAGACGCAAAGATAGACAGCTGCATCGAAGCATGTACAATACATAAGGGGCTTATTAAACGTTGCCTTTCAACAGTGAAATTTGTTGGGAAGCTAATAATATATGGTAGTTGGTGTGATGGTATTACATGAAGTACTATTATTCGTGTATTTGTATATGAAGACTACTACATGTGGTTATGATGAATGTGGTCGATAGAGCAAGATAAGCTTTTGTTTCTGTCCCTATACCTTCCTAGATATTATTATAGTTGTGTCGCTTCTATCATAACAAAACATATGGGTACAAATATTCATTCAGGGGCAAGTGTCTAGAGGTAATGGCACACCTATTTCTTTTAAAATTAACCAATAAAAACTTTGAAATTGGAAGAACTAAGGTCTTACAAGTAGGCCATCCTAAATCATGTAAGAACATATGCGATGAGCAGTGAGACCACACACAGACGAATCAATCTTTTATCTTGCCATTTAGCATTGCATCCAATTATAGGCCTTGTATTTAACGCAGAACCGGAATATATGAGCCCCATTTCCTAATAATAGTTAGCCAAAAGAACTTTCCTTCTAAAATGGAATGAATTTTTACATTGTTATTGGTAAAATGGAATTATAACTTTTTCCCGTTACTTTAGAGAGTGACATTGCATCAAATATTTATCAAACCTCAAAATTATACGGCATTTTATGCAGCAATTTATACAATAAACTGAATTTCGTGAAAAAATTGCATCAAGACAAGTTTTCGACAGAAATGAGTTTGCTTTGATGCATGATGCCTGAAAGATGATTTGAATCACGATAAACACTCGATGAACGATGAATCATTTAAGGTTGGGTGTGATGACGTCATTATCAAATATCATGAAAGTGTGTAAGTCTCTGGTCATGCATAGGTATAGCCTTAAATAAAGAAATTAGATTGAAACTACGTCAGTCCACTCTCAGGGTACCTGAATCTCAGTATACTCAACCCTGCTGGTGTTTTGCCTAGCATATACATATGCATCTCAACAAAGATTTTTTGATAACCGACAGTGGCGGAAATTCAGGCTTTCATTCGGAGGGGGCCCAGGCCTACAATTTTCCGACAAGATAACATCTTGGATCATGTCTCATTTTAAAGAAATTGCACTTTTGATAAAAATAAGTGATTTTTGACGGAACCTTTTGGAAATTTTTCCTGACCACACCACAATTAAGTAGCAAAAAGAACAATCCATTAATGATTTTTGATATCAAGATCGATATCTCATCTAAGACAATTGATGATACAAGAGGTCGACCGATTACACTTTTGATAAGTCGTACGTTCATTTCATGCAGTTTATCTTGTTTTCGTCAGTGGGAAATACGTTTGAAAATATCTTTTATTCGAAAAATCCGATGGAAATTTCGGCTAATCTTTACGGTATTGAAATCAAATATACAATTCACAAGCAGTTTCTTTTATTTTGGTCATATATTATTTGATTGATTATTTAGTACTGGCTAATATTTTATCAGCTATGCTATGTTCAAATTTTGCAAAAAGGGCACAGAGAGGTTATAAAGGCTCCTGGGGTAAAAAGGGACCTCTAAGATTACGCCTCTAAGATTAGCTTAAAATTCCTTTTCAGAACAATTTCTTGGAGTAATTTCGACCCGTTAAAAGGTTGTCAATTATCCGACAAAAGCCCGAATTTTCCGACGACATCGCTGATTAAGGGGGGGCCGAGCCCCCCCAAACCCCCATAATTTCTGCCACTGATAACCGATCTCTATCGATCGCATTAAGAGTGCAAATCCTTCTATTCCTATCCCATACACCAAGGCGTGTACAGCTTTGTCTATCATTCAGTATCGTTCACTAGCGTTCAGTGAAAGCCAGTTTGTGCAATGATAAATCGTCATTGTGCAGTGATAAACTCAAATTTTGTGTAGTGATAAAACTACAATTAAGAGATATGGTATTGAAAAATAAGATTGCAGCAGTTACCAGTAGACACAAATAGCTGATATAAGAGTATTACAATATTTAAGACTAGAACATAACAGTAACAATGACCATACTCTATTAAATCTCTCAAAAGCTGTTCAGAACATGGGAGTTATCTAGTTTGTTTTGCCCTTCGTCTTCTCCTTTAAGTTCTTTATTCTCGAGAACATGTTTAAGCCTAAACCACTTTTTCTAATCTTTATTAAAAGATTGGTTGAGAGGTAATATGATTCGCCAGTTTTGATGGGTGTGGTCATGAAAATGTTCAAAAGGAAGCACGCAAAACTTTTGAATATGTGAAGGAATAAAATTTCTTAAAAAAAATGCTGCTTTTACTGCAGCAAGCACTATATGACAGATCTGTTAACCAAATTTTTCATTTTCTACTAAAAGGTATTTCAGCTTATTCAAGATGCATCTTTCTGTTACTTTTTCACCGTCACTGCGACGATCATAAGTTCATTTAGATATAAATTTGCATTGCAAAAAATTTCTCGTTAAGATTGATTAGTGTCATTATATC